CCTGGTCTGAAGTGGTGGTCCGTGGCTGCAAGAGAAGCTTGGATGGGGCTGCCTCTCCTCCGCACATCAGCCTCTCCAACCGCTATGGAACCCTGTCTGACGACACTCCGGTCCATCCAGAGGATGCACCTGCGGCTTCGAGTCTCCCTGATACGGATCTCTTTCGGCGGACAGTGCCTGCCGACACTGTTGCATCTCCTTCACCGGCTACATCTCCTGCACTGGCGGCAAACGGTAATCAACTGGGCCGCCGGTCTGCCACTGGGCCTGATCGGCAGCCATCATCCCGGTCAAAAACCTCCGCTTCCCGACGTAGGATCCTGAAGGAGGCTGTGCTCAGACGCTCCGGAGGCCGTCTCTACCCTGCACCGTCGGGTAGCCCTTCTCTCAGGTATGTTACTGTATGTTACTCCATCCTCAGTCCGCACGCAGTGTTGAAGCAGATTCTGCTCAGTCCTGCTCTGGAACCCCACAACCGGCATCTCCTCGTCCTCTTTTCTCCCCAACCACACTAATAATTGGTGACTCCATAACCAGAAACATTAGTTTCTTCAACGCTACCACTCACTGCTTCCCCGGTGCCACCACGGCTGACATTTTAAAAAATCTCCAGGACCTAATGCCATCGCTCCCGTCCTCCATCACAAGAGTGATAGTCCATGTGGGAACAAATGACACAGCTCTTCAGCAGTCTGAACTGACAAAATCAGATTTTAACCGTCTTTTTAACTTTTTAAAGCAGTGTGGAAAGTCCGTTTTTATCTTTGTCCCATTCCCACTGTTGGTCGCGGTGCTGGCCGCTTCAGTAGACTCCTTGGCCTCCACGATTGGCTCCAGTCTGCCTGCAAGGCTCACCGTGTGTCTTATGTGGATAATTTTAATATTTTCTGGCAAAGAATGTCTCTTTTTAAGACAGACGGACTTCACCCAAACAAACGGGGCTCAGAAATGTTAGCTGCTCACATACAGCATGTGGTGCGGTCCAGACATGACTTACGCGAATGACTAATCATTCATGCAGCACACCTGGACACACCACCGGTCACTGAACAGATCTCTGCCTCACTGACACAAACAACTGTCTCCACCTGCTGGCATGTAAAGATGTCTGCTCCCAGCACTGTTCCAAAGACTTATATTCCTGTCATCATCACGCATAGACCAGTAAACCGAAATGTGCACATCCCACACAGAAATAATAGTAATCTCTTAAGGATTAGGACAACTGCACCAACTCCAGCACCCAGAACAACCTCATTTAAAATGGCTCTCTTTAATGTGAGATCTCTGTCAAGTAAGACTTTTATCTTAAATGATTTTATCTTGTCTGCAAATCTAGATTTTATGTTTTTAACTGAATCCTGGCTGCAAATGAATGACTATAGCCAGCTAGCTGAACTGTGTCCGCCTCAATATGATTGTTTTAGTCAACCGAGGGTCAGTGGTCGTGGTGGTGGGCTAGTGAGCGTGTATAGGAAAAATTTAAAATGTCATAAAGTACGCTGTGATGAATTTAACTCCTTTGAAGTTCTCACTCTTAAAGTTGGAGGGCTGCAACCTATCATATTTGTCGCCCCCCAAAACTGCCGGGAGGATTTTTATCAGAACTTCCTGAATTTTATCTACTCTGGTTTTAAATTATGACAGAATTGTTCTTTGTGGCGATTTTAATATTCATGTTGATGACCCCACCAATGTTAATGCAACTGACTTTTTAAATATGGCCACTTCTTTTAACTTCAAACAACATGTCAAAGGGCAAACACATAACCGTGGTCATACACTGGACTTGGTTTTTACACTGGGTGTCAGCATTTCCTCTGTGGAATTAGTGGTCATGACCATATCTGACCACAGATGTATTGTTTTTAGCTGCGATTCGCCTGTTACTCATGCTGCCTCACCAAGCTCCGTGTGTTCTCGCATTTTTAATTAACAAAGTGTTTCAAAGTTTTGCGCATTCTTTCAGAGCCAAAGCCAACACCTGTCTGATTCCAACACCAACAATCTGGTCGATCACTTCAATCATATCTGCTTGTCACTAAATATTACTGCTCCTCTAAAGGTTAGGCCTACGTCTAAAGCTATTAAGCAACCCTGGATAAATGACAGCATTCGCAGCCTAAAAAGGGAATGCAGGAAAGCAGTGCGCAGATGGAAAAAATCCAATCTCCAAGTCCATTACCTCAGTCTGGAGGATTTATTAATTAACTACAATAACATGGTTAAGGATGCGAGAACACACTATTTTTCTGAACTCATTACTACACATAAACACAATCCCAGGTTTCTGTTTAAGACTGTGGATCAGCTGGTAAACCCAATCCCTCCTTGTGCCTCAGCTGGAAGTAATGATGACTGTGAATTGTTTTTATCTTATTTTACCAATAAGGTGGTGTCAATCAGAGCCTCTATTACCCCCGCGGCCTCTTACTCAGAGGTTCCTCACCAGCAACAAGAGAGTTTTAACTAGTTTTATCCCATCGACTTCTCTGAGCTTTTAAAAACAGTATCACAAATGAGAGTGTCCTCCAGCCCACTTGATGTAATAGCTACAAAGTTTTTACTGAAAGTAATAGATTCTGTTGGGCCCCATTTGATCTCTGTTTTCAACAGCTCCCTATCTACTGGTTGTGTCCCTGATTATTTTAAAACGGCTTGCGTGAACCCACTTTTAAAGAAACCTGGTTTAGATCCCTCCCTCCCACATAATTTTAGACCAATTTCTAAACTGCCTTTTATTGCAAAGATTCTAGAAAGAATTGTGTCCAAACAGTTACTCACTGTACTGGAAAATAACAAAATATTTGAAAAGTTTCAATCTGGTTTTAGGAAGTACCACAGCACTGAGACTGCCCTGCTTAAAGTCACCAATGACCTTTTAATGTCTGCTGATGAAGGTATGTGCTCAGTCCTGGTACTCCTGGACCTTAGCGCTGCTTCTGACACCATTGATCACAACATAATGTTAGACAGACTGAGGCACTGGGTGGGGATCTCTGGTACTGCCCTAGAATGGTTTTCATCCTACCTGTCAAATAGGAAGTTTTGGATGTCAAATAATTTCCTCTAGCTGAACTCAGACAAAACAGAAATCGTGGTCATCGGGTCTCAGCAGATGGCAAATCAAATACTTCCATCTGCTGGTTCCCTAGTAAATCACATTAAGCCTGTGGCAAAGAACCTTGGTGTTTGGTTTGATAGTAATTTAAATTTCGAGCAGCACACCACAAAACTTGTTCAGTCATGTTTTTATCAACTTAGAAATACAGCAAAAATTCGATCTATGTTAACTTTTAAGGACACCGAGACCATTTTACACGCCTTCATCTCATCACGCCTCGATTATTGCAACAGCCTTTTCACCTGTTTAACTCAAAAATCTATTGATCGACTCCAGACTGTCCAGAATCAGCTGCCTGGCTTTTAACCAGAACAAAGAAATATGACCCCATTACTCCTATTTTAGCTTCACTACACTGGCTCCCAGTATGTTTTAGAATTGACTTTAAAATTGTATTGATCACTTTTAAAGCTCTTCATGGCCTCTCGCCTTGTTATATTTCTGAACTTTTAGTCCCATACACACCAGCACGTACCTTGAGATCCTCGGGCAGAGGTCTGTTGTCTGTTCCAGAGTCTCGACTGAAAACTAAAGGGGACAGAGCGTTTGCTGTCAGGGCCACGAGACTCTGGAACAGCCTGCCCGAGGAAATCAGGTCGGCTGAGTCAGTGAATTCTTTTAAGTCCCTTCTTAAAACATACTTTTATAGGAGAGCCTTTCCCGATCTTATTTGACTTTATTTTATCCCTTTTATTTTATTCTATTTTACTAATTTTATATTTATCTTAAACGTGTATTTTAGTCTTTTCAATGTTTTCTTGGTTTTATCTTGTATAGTTTTTGTATTATTGTCTTTTGGGTATTATTGTCTTTACACTTGTAAAAGCACTTTGTAACTTGTTTTTGAAAAGTGCTCTACAAATAAAGATTATTATTATTATTATAGTTGTCACGAAGGGCAAAATTAGCGATTTGCACTAAAACCATTTTTTGAACCAGGCTGTAAACATGTTTTATTCTGCTGTAAAGTTGGGAATTTTAACATGGGGGTCAATGGAGATTGACTCCCTTTTGCAGCCAGCCTCAAGTGGCCACTCGATGAATTGCAGTTTCAGATACTTCGCATTGGTATCGGAAGTGAGACACGGAGGTTGCCGCTTGCTAAAGAATAGCGTCTGCACATGGTCTCATGAACACGATATTAACTCTTCTTAACTCTGTTATATACGCTACGTAACTTAGACATCAGAAGGCTCACACCAGTTAACTTATGATTTCCTGCAGTGTTTTACAGCATGAACATTGTGCTAACATTAGAAATCTCACTCATCACGCTGGCCACATGTGAACACATGGTAACTCTACAATACAGAAACATAAACACAACTAAGTGACTGTCACTTACTTTTCGTCATTAACTCAACACATGGAATATTGGAAGCGGGATCATTCAGGAGGAAATAAACATGCTAATTGTCACAGATAAGTGGGCTAAACTATGCTTATTGAACATGTTTCCGTTCCCGCTATAGTCAACTCACTAGCTACACACTTAGTCTACCATAACCACAGAAGCGGCTGACACCCACAAATGTCAGAGCCTTTTATACAGTCCATCATACTATATCAGTAAGGAACTTTTCTTCCCCTTACCCCTTGTTCCTAACCATCTCATAACATGAAGTGGGTGTGATTTTTGGCAACGGAAAGTAAACGAAAATCCTACAGTGCACAGGTGTGGTTTTTAACCACCCGACATGCAGTTCTGATGAATCATACTGTCCCCTTTAGACCTTGGGAGACTCAATGTTTAATGTCTTTGATCTTCTCCTCTGGAACTTCCTGTCAGAGGAGGAATCCAAAAAACAAAAACTGTATGACTTACCTCTTCAGCTTAGTGTTTACATACAGTACAAATATTTTCTCCTAATTTCAGGTGCTGGAGGTAAAAGAGTAAATAAGAGTTCCTGCAGTGCTGCTGCAGTGTTTCTGGGTCTGCTGTGTCTTCTCCTCCTGACTGGACTCATAACTCTGGTTTTCCTGTGTGAGTACTTTGTTAGCATGCTGATGAAGCACTGAGACAGTGATGTTGGTGAACAGTGTTTGTTCATTCATTATTCATGTGCCAAACAGTCACCAAAGGCAAGTCTGAGTGGGAAATGGAGATGGTCCTGTTACACACCAGTTACAACAACTTGACCAAAGAACTAGACCAGCTTCAGACCAGTTACAACAACCTGACTAAAGAGCAAGACCGCCTCCAACAAAGAGTTGAAAACATAACCATGGAGACAAATGATCTTCAGAAAAATCTTCAAGGTAATTATTTCTTTCTTTATTCTGGCTGACTATAATCACTCAAAGTAATATTTAAATTCTTGCACTTCATTATCATTTTTACATACTTAGTAGTGTGTCTCCTAACACATTGTGTACACATTGTGGTGTAAAACATTACATTCCTCTGTGGTGTGCAATATATGTGTATTTGACTCATAACAGTTCAAAATAGCACTGTAGCAGCAGGACAGAGGGTCAGTGACCTAAGGGGAGAGCAGTGATTGGTGGTTATGTAGGGACTGAACCCTTCTATAGAATTTGACCTCTAACCCCTTGTTTTGTTACCTCAGAATAGTACTGTACCCTTCTATGGGTTTGAGCGTTATTTTGCAGACTCAAACCCTTCTATGGTACCAGTACAGATATACAGGTATCTGTACCAGTACCTGGTACAGATACCTAAACACATCCTATATAAGCTATGTTTGATGTACAGAGAGACAGAGTGGCCATTGGGCTGGGTCACTCTCCAAGCTGCTGCAGAGCTTGTAATTGATGCTGAACTCCTTGATTTACTTTTATGATCAAGAACAGTGTCAAGCGGGTTTCCTCTCAACACATCATCGCAGCATTATTGTTCGGACACCACACCTCAAAGAGTTAACTCCTCACGTGAGGCTAAGGCTAAGTTCAAGAAGCCACTTTTCTAAAACGTGTTGCTTGTGTACACTGTGGTGATTCTTTTGTGAATGTAAAACTGTATTTATTAAAACACATTACATTCCTCAAAGAGCTAACTCCCCACCAACAACACCTTCACATCAAAGCTAGCTTTGTTGCGTCCGGCACTAGTGTTGTGTCGTTCAAAGAATGTTTCGTTCATTTGACCTAATCTTGTATGTGACTCAGCAGGAACGGGTTGTCTCAGTGAGTAATTCGTTCATTTTTACACATGCGTGAATAGTCTTGGACTCTTACGTTCACTCGTTACACAGCAGCTAAAAGGTCTCCGTCAGCACAGGAAACAGAATTGATTAGTTCATGACTCTCAACTGTGGGTCTCTGGGTTTGAGTCATTCATTTGTCCCGTGACAGCTTGGCTACAGGGCTGTGGTAAGCAGGCAGCACAGGAAACAGAATTGATTAGTTCAGGACTCAACTGTGGGTCTCTGGGTTTGAGTCATTCATTTGTCCCGTGACAGCTTGGCTACAGGGCTGTGGTAAGCAGGCAGCACAGGAAACAGAATTGATTAGTTCAGGACTCAACTGTGGGTCTCTGGGTTTGAGTCGCTCCTTTGTCACGTGACATCTCAACTACTGTGGAGCAGGAATGAACTAATCGTTCAGCGCTTCAATGGGTCCTCCTCGGAGTCTGTCTTCACTCGGCAGGCTGACTTACTGCCAGCACTGGGGAATGAGAGGCAATTCTGTTGTCAGGTAACAGTCACTGGACTGACATATATCTAATATCTATTTTGATAATTTTGTGACATTTAATAAAGCATAATGTTATTACAGCGCAGTTATGTTGTGCTAAGTTATAGTTTTAACACAGCCGTACCGTAACTTTAGTCCTGCTAGTGTTTACAGCCAACAGCTGATGAGAGTTGTTCTGGGTCCGCTCCACTTCAGAGCCCTAACAGAGTTCTACAGAGAGCAAAATTACCACAGAGGTTGTCGCCTCTCCAAAACAAACCCGGACATTAAATCATTAAAACACAACCAAATAGCAACGTTAGCTTTAGCCCTGTTGTTTGTTTACAGCTAACAGCTGATCCGGGTCCGCCAGAGAACGCATCTTAACTTTTACTTTTTATTTATCGACAGAGCCGTGCTGTTGTTTCACCGCTGCTCACTGGTGAACAACCTGCAGTGTTTGAGATTATTATTAAATTTGTTAAATTTTAATAAGAATGTGTTTTATTCATCTAGTGTGTCAAGCTCATTACTTCAATATATTCCCTGTAAATCTGATGTTAATATATAGATTTTACTCATGGATAGGCGTTAGGCTACTGTATGAATGAGCACTTTAGAGATATAGTGATAGTAATTATAATTATATATATATGACTGGTCTGGTTGTATACTCAGGAAGGATTGTGAAAATGGACGGATTTAGTGGCTTAATCGAATATTGACATCATATTTCTGTGTTTCTGTTTTTACATGGTTTGAATTTGGTTGTGGCTCCATGGGGCTTTATAGAACCATGATAGAGAAAGATCAAGAGGTGAATTTGTGCATTATACTTTGTCAATTAGAGCAAGCCAGGCAGCCTTCTGTGTTTGAGAACTGCGCTGTTTTTAAAAAAATCGCCCACTAGAGGGCTGCAGCGTAGCAATAACCAAATGAACGAAATGAACACAAAAAAAGATTAGTTCATTTTAATGAACGAGATTTGGTGACTCGAGTCTTTCAAAAGAGTGACTTTTCCCATCACTAACCCCTAATATGAGGCCTTAAATGTCCCCACCACTTTTCAACACAAAGTGACGCCCTTGTGTAATCAGCTGCGTCCACATGGTCCTAAAGCCTTTATTTAAGTTGAGCTTGTTATCAATGGTTTTTATTTGAATTTGTTTTATTAATAGAAACAGGCTATAGTCTACATATAATTACGGAGGTGCGGACCAGTAGTAGCCTACTGCCATAGTGATCAATGGCTGTGATGCTGCTAGGTGGTTTATTAGAGGCTGTTCCTGTTTATATGTGCGTGCATTAGCAGGGCGGCCGTGGTGGAGTATACAGTGGACTGTTCTGGTGGGCCTATCTGGATCAAAGTCCAGGGCCATTTTTTACTCCCAGTCCGTCCCTGTCTGCAGGGCATGAGAAGGCAGCGACTGCTGTCGTGTGTCTTCAGTAGGACTTGCAACTTGTGCTGGAGGCTCTAAGGGATGCACCTTATGAAGTCCTTGCAGTCTCAAACAGCCTTACTGCTAGCTCTCACCTCTGCTAAGAGGATGAGTGAGTTGTGTGTCCTGTCGGTTCACCCCAGCTGCTTGCTGTGTTGTGGCGACAGTGCAGCAGGACTGAATCAGAATCACCTTTATTGCCAGGTATGTGTACACATACGAGGAATTGTACATTGCTCATGATGTGCTTACTCCTACAAAAATACCATAACACAATAATAATAAAAATAATAAAATAATAATAAAATAAAATCAGACACAAACTACAGTATAGACAACACTAATATACACACTATGAACAAAACAATATAGACATATTGACAAATAGTGCAGTGATCAGAGTGCAAAGGATGCAAGAGTAAACTATTATTCTCATTATGTACATGTAGAAGGTGGATATGATATACAGGTACACATACATGTACACATGTACACAGTGTGATGGAGCATAGTGCAAAGGATGCTGGAAAAAATAAATAAGACCTATGACCTTATGACCTGAGGTAGGTGTATTGGTATATAGTATATACAATATGACATAGTATGAACAACACTGAAATAGAGAATGGTGAATAAATAAATAATAAGTGGTAACCAGTAAACAGGTGGCTGATTAGAGACAGAGTTACTGGGTTATTGCACAGGAATTGTTCCTGACACTGTGAGACAGAATCAGCTGTTCATCAGAGTGATGGCTTGTGGGAAGAAACTGCTTCTGTGTCTGTTGGTTTTGGCCTACCAGAGGGGAGGAGCTGGAACAGGTTGTGTCCGGGGTGAGATGGATCTGCAGCGATGTTTCCTGCCCGTTTCCTGACTCTGGAAATGTATAAGTCCTGAATGGAGGGCAGGTGAGCACCGATGATCTTTTCTGCAGTCCTGACTGTCCGTTGTAGTCTGCTCTTGTCCTTTTTGGTGGCAGATCCAAACCAGACAGTGATGGAGACGCAGAGAACAGACTGGATGATGGCTGTGTAGAACTGGATCAGCAGGTCCTTAGGCAGGTTGAGCTTCCTGAGCTGACGCAGGAAGTACATCCTCTGCTGGGCCTTCTTGATGATGGTGTCCGTGTTGAGCTCTCACTTTAGGTCCTGGAGCCGGTTGCACCAACAGGGCTTTGCTAAGCCTGGTCCTAACTGCTAAGTAAGTCTTAGTTAAGACCAGTCTTTAGAGTTGACCTAACGTCGGTAGCACCAACCAAACTTAAGCCTAGGCTTAACGTTCATGTGAATGGCCACAGAACTATAGCGGTTGCCTAGCAGCGTGCGTTGTTGGGTTACACTAAACTATCTTCCGCTGTTTTGTTAACTTGTAGCTGTCTCAATGGAGGGTCAAAGAAAAAGGAAAGGAAATTTCACCGACATTGAGATACGAAAGTTAATTGAGCTGTACAGTCAGCACAGACACACACTGACTCCCAAGCAATCAAACTCAATAACGAACAAGAAGAAACAAACAACATGGAAACAGATAACGGAGGGGATTAACGATTGCTCTGACTCCGGCTGCCTTCGGACAGAGAGCAATGTGAGGAAAAAGTGGAAAGCCAAAAAAAGATTTGTCTTCAAAAAAACACCACCCGTCCGGCGGGGGTCCTCCCCTAAAAACTTCCGTGTACAGTACCATAATTGTGGATATCTTTGGAGAGGATTCCCCAGCTTTTATTGGTTTGGTCGGTGCGGAAAGTGGCGGTACCGACCTGGAAGAAACTGCTGTCTCTCCAGAGATGGATGTCGACCACTCAAGCGAGAGTGTGAGTTTTGAAGGTGTGTAGCCTATATATTAGAGTAGCCTACAATAATTAGTAGTTGTCACATAACAGTAGGACTATGAAGGCAGCAGCGGTGCACCGCCGGTGAAATGGAGGAGGAGGCTGGATGATCTGCAGCAGACACTTCTTGAGAAGGAAATTGTTAGAGTAGAGGCTGAAACAAAGAAATTACAGGCTGAGCAGGAAAAGCTGGAACTTGAAAAACTAAAAATATTGTTAGAAATACAGTTGCTGCAACAACAGGTCATCTTCACCTATTTCTGAAGAGGATGGGCGGTCTTTTGTAATTCTGTAAATAAGCCTAATGGAAAATTGTGTGCAATGAATCAATGACAATTATATGTAAATTAAAAAAG